ATTGTCGGGGTGGGATTGCTGGGGTGGGATTGCTGGGGTGGGATTGCTGGGGTGGGATTGTCGGGGTGGGATTGCTGGGGTGGGATTGCTGGGGTGGGATTGTCGGGGTGGGATTGTCGGGGTGGGATTGTCGGGGTGGGATTGTCGGGGTGGGATTCTCGGGGTGGGATTCTCGGGGTGGGATTCTCGGGGTGTCTATGCAAGGCCAGGAGCTGGACTCAATCCCCGGGGGTCCCTCCCAGCTCAGGCTATGGGGTGGCTCCCTGGAGTGCCCCGTGCTGTGCCCACCTCAGCAGCACAGGCTCGCTGTGGCTCGGGGAGCTGGCGCTGCTGGCGGGCGCTGGGGCAGCGCTGGGCGTCTGTTCCTCGGGAGCCGGCGCCGGGCAGGTGGGCAGAGAGTCCTTGCCTTCCTGGACACAGAGCACAGAGATGGCAGATGGGCTTAAACTACTCACTGCAGGACAGCTGAGCAGTGGGATGTTCCCAAAGGCTGCTCAAGTCCTGATTGCATTAATTTGGCTCCTTTTGGAGCGTCGCCTCTAAAGCAACTCCCCCCTCCCATGGGTAAATCACCCAGTGGAGGAGAGGGGAAGGAGGGCTGGATCAGCCCAATTCTCAGTGCTTAGTCCCACCAGCCCAAAGAACAGACTCATCTGGAATGATCCCTTGCCCACACTCCACCACACTGTTCCTACTCCAACAGCCACCACTCCTGGTTTCCCTGCTTTATTCCTGAGCTTACGACAGCAGCATTCCCACAAAAAGCCAGGAAAAACGTGCTATTCTGTGATCACACACAGCATGAAGCTTGGGATTAAAGCATTCCCATGTGTGGCTCTGACAAACAGGGAAAAGGGGAGTCCTGGCACAGGGATGTGTGTGAGAGGGAGATGGGAGCAGGCACCTTCTCTTTGCAGACTCCTTTCACGATGTCGGACATCCTGCTCTCCAGCACAGGCTCTCCCGGGATTTTTGCTGTGCTGCCAGGCAAAGGTGGGAAATTTGATGCAAGCAAGTCAAACTTTGGTGTCTGAGTCTTTGTTTCTGCTGAAGGCTGAGGTCTCTAGAGAGGGAAAAACACCCCATTAATAGAGCCGTGACACCTGAGCAGGAAAAGCCCCGTGCAAGTGCCAGGGAAATTCCTGGAAAAACTGAACCCCCAATTTAATTCCAGGGTTTAAGGGCTCTGTCACTCCTTCAATAACTGCAAAGCTGCATTTTGAGCAGGTCCCTACAACAGGGGGAAGGGGAACTTACTGAAACCCGGTCGTCGTCCCGTCTCCTCCGGCCTCGGAACACGTTCCTCCTTGGGAGACAAGAAACCCTCAGTCAGTGCCTTGACCCTGTTCTGCACGAGGGAACTGGGGCAGGGGATTCCCTGTATCCCTGGGATTCCATCCTCAGGAGGGGTCAAGGCTCTGATGCTCTTGGAACAGAGGAAATATGGGAACAATTTCTCTCCCTCACCCCCAGGGATGAGCAGAGTTATCACCAAGCACAGGGACTGTTGGAATTCTACAGTAATCAACTTATTGGTCTGACTTCTCACCAATCTGCCCTGAACACTTCTTTTTAAGTGTTTAAACCCTGAATCCACAAAGATAAAACCACTTAATCTTAAAATATTGCAGAGCATCAAACTGCCAGCTGAGGATTTCCTTATTGTTTACAGCAACACAGCTGCCAACTTTACCTCAGCAACTGTTTTAATTCTGGGGACAAATCAGGTATTTTAAAATCAAGACCCCTCACTATCTTACTGCCAGAGTAAACAGCAGGTGTAGACTCAAGCAGGAAGCTCTTCCTGCTCCCAGGTCAGCTTTTATCACTCCTGGTTTAGTTAAATGCCAGTTTTCTCGTGGTTGGCCTTTACAGAAATGTTATTTTGTGCCCGTGGTTGATGCCTTTGGGCCAAGTCCCACCTTGCAAACAGGACCCAGCTCTTTACCTGCCCCTGCCGACGCTGTAATCCCCGTTCTGCTCCAGCTGGGCCGTGGGAGAATCCTTCTGGGAATACCCTTGGTCTTGGTGCCCGGTTAAGGGGCTGCTGTGCCTCTCCATGACGAAATTCCTGGAGTTGGCCCTGCCCAGGTCCCCCCCGGGCACGGCCCCGAGGGTGGGAGGCCCCTCCACGTGCTCCGAGCTGGAGGAGGAGCGGAAATGGGGCTTCACCCTGCGGAGACACGGAGCTGAGGGACCCCCAAAAAGCTGGAGAACCACCCACACAGCGCCCACAGACCACAGCCCACGGCACAGAGCCACAGGATAACAGGATATCCTGAGCTGGAAGGGGCCCCCAAGGCTCATCAAGTGCAGCCCTTGGCCCACAAAGGAATTAAAGCCCCAACCCTGGTGTTGTCAGCACCCTGCTCTGACCAGCTGAGCTCATCTCAGGCCAAGAGGGCAGCAGGTCAGGCAGCACCACAACTCAGAAGTTCTTTCCATGAGGAATAAAGACATTTGTCTTCCCCACCTCCATGGATTCCTCCTGTTATGGTTTTCCTGCAGCCTCCTCTCAAATGGTGCCGTTTACAGGAAATATTGAGATCGTTGCCCAAGGGGGAAAAAAACCCCAAACCCAGCAGAGCCAGAAGCCCAAAGAGGGATTTTTCCTTTGGCACAGGCACAGGGCATTGGAGAGGGGCCTGGAGAAATAAGCTGAGCCCAAGGAACAAACCTGGCCACAGGTAAACAAATGAACTGAGAGTTCAGGCCAGGAGTAGATGGTGACTGAACATGGGAGATCAGGCCAGGGCAGCTGAGCCCCTCTCCAGGCAGATCCATGCTCTGTTCCCATTCCCAAACCCCCAGCACTGACTCTGCAGTTCCCAATCCCCAGACATTTCACCCTGTTATTGATTATTCAGCATTAAAAGCTGCAGTTCCCTTGAGCACAGACACAGCTTTCCACGCTCGGTGCTGCTGCAAGTTCAGGCACAGGGTCCTAAATGCAGAATTCCCCAGAAAAACTCTGCCCCAGCACAACGTGGAACAGTTTTCTGGGGCAGCATTTGGGTGCCTTGGACTGTTTTCCACTCCTGCCTTTCCCAGCAGCACCAACCAGCTGCAGAAAGCAAGACAAGGAATTTAAACTCTCTCTCTCTCTCCCCTCTGGTCAACTCTACACATCTCCTAATTTAAGGACAGCAGGAGGATTTTGCACACTTATTGTTTTTTAAACAGTCTCATTACAACATTCAGTGCAATCAGAAGAAACTCTCCTATTGCCAGCTGAGGTCTGACTCCTCCATCTCCCTTTCCCACAACGATGTTGCAACAAATCCGGGCAAAATAAATACAAGTGGCTTAAACAAATGTTTAGCTACAGAGAAAAAGCCAATGCTTAACTATTAACTGCCTGTAGGACAAGACAAATCAGGCTTAATGGGCCAGCACAGAAACCCAAAAGCAGCAGCTGAATGAACCTCTCTGAACGAGCTCCTCTGCAGTTCAAGAGGAGAGATGCTGAAAGGAGATTAATTCACATTTCACAGCTCTGAGAAGCACCAAGAACCAGTTTTAAGGCCCCCAATAAAAGTTTAAGTTTTCCATCAGCAAGAGCCCGTAAAGAGGAGGAGGAAAGTGAAGTGAATTCTTCCATTTTGATCAAGTTGTCCTCAAAATGGCAGAGCCTCAAGTCACTGTGCAGCCCTCAGATCTCATAATCTTACCCGTCATCGAGAAGGCCGCGGTCTCGTCTGGGCAGAAGAGCAAAGCCAGGAAAGATGAGGAAAGATAAAGGAGGAAATAAAAAAAAAAAAGCAGAGAGAAGGAGAGATGATGTGGAGAGAGCAGGAGGAAGGAAGAGCAGGAGGAAGGAGGAGCAGGAGGAAGGAGGAGCAGGAGCAAAGCTGCCCAGAGCCCGACCGTGACCTGTTCTCTCTTAGCGCGATACTTGATCATCACTGGGCCACAACCTGCACAGTCTCAGCCCCCTAAAGCTGCAGCTTCAGGGGGTGAAGTTGCACAAACTAAAACACAGCCAGGATTTTAGGAGCTCAGGGATTACACAGCCATGATCTCCAGGGCAGCAGTGAGCACGGGGTGCTCCAAGGTGTAACGTTGGGAACACACCGACACTTCTGAGAGGATCCAGCTACTGAGTTTTACAGGCTTTGGTTGGGGCACAACTTAAAGCAAAAAAAA